TAGGTGTACACATAAATTAATATCTATACAAACAACACCAATGATGGCGTGCTTATAATTTCATTTGGTCGGCACTTTACGCCGATTCAATACACTTAACATAATATTATAATGAACACAATAAGCACACATTTAATCGCAATATTTTTAGTCCTTCGGCGCACGTTGACGTTTACCCATATTTATTTTCTGGAGTATTTATTATTATTATTATCATATGAATCATGCTCCACGAAGTACACATGTAATTTTACTCCAAGTCCATACGACGTAACATCGCGGCGTGTTTCCGTTGCGATAAATAACCAATCGTTACTAGGAAGATCACGACGCTGCCTCCGGTAATGACACTTGACCTCAGTTTAGTATCGTCGTTGCATGGAGCAATATTACATCATTGGAATCAGACGATGAATGGGGCTGATTATATAGATGAACTAACCCAGTGCCATCTCGGTCGTTTTTTTTTTTCTTTCTTTTCTACAACCTAGTTCTTGCATCGTATGCTAATTTCAGTTGCATTCCGTCGGTGACTATATAAGACGTCCCGCCGCAATCAAAGTAAATCATTTGTGATAGTGCCGTCGAACGGGAAAAATACCAACTCCGTTCCAGTGTGCGTATATACCTGTCGTCTACCTCGTGTAAATACTGCACACCTACGTTTTACACTTCAGTATTATCCGCCACACAACCATGAGCCAACAAAAGGTAAGCGAAAAACATGATAATAAAAAATATTATTTTGGTAAACGCAATATGGGTGCTGCTCAAATAGAATATTAATATTTTACACCAATTATATTATTTATTATTTCTATACGAGCATTTCATGCCATAATAATAAAACACTTGGTGCGACATTTGAACAATCATTGAAATGTTCTAAAACACTACAAGTTTTACACACCGCATTAAATTATATAATTATATTAAATACATCGTTATTYGTTGACATAACTACATATTAATCATTCTTTGCTCAGAATTCCATTTTAAATATTCAAAATAATATACCTATAGTGTTATTATATTTAATTTTTACAATAAATAWATAAAATAAATAATGCAATTGAAAACGAAATACTATATTAGTTATTAGTACAATAGTAGGTACTAACAAGGCAGTAGATACATACAATAATTCTAAATTTAAAATTTCCTCAACCTTATAWTTTATTAAATGATCTTTTTCATTTTCAATTAAGTGTAAATACTATTTTTATTTTAAAGTACTGTTTTTAAAATCATATTCAATCCAAATGATTTCAAGATACTTAAGTATCTGTATACTTCAATTATTAAAATATTTACCATCAAATATTCAAGTCAATAGGTGTTTGGTAGGTATCCAATTATAATAGTAAATAATTTTATTTAATGATTTTTAATAAATATTTAATAAATTATTTGATTTAAAACTTTTTATCTATTGAATCCAAAAATAGTTCATACTATAMATTTTCTACAAAACGCATACATTATATTATACTAAATTAATTTATATAGAAACTATTATACGATTAAATTTGTTCGTAATAGTAACGTATAATAATTTTTATAACTTTTATATTTTAAAATTGCAATCAATAAGTCCTTATACCTATTTACTATAATAATCCTTTGACTGTTTTACTGTAATCTACTTTTTAAAAATCTTAAACACAGTTGATACTTAAGTTTTAAATACTTATGTAATATGATAAAATATAAAAATAAGAATATTTCATAATTTAAATTTATAATATTTTTCCAACCATCTTATTGATGAAATGTTAAATAAATAGTTTTCCTATAAAACAACAAAATAATTCATCACCAGTACATACCTACTGCATATATTTGCTTAAATTTGATTTAYGCGTGTATTGTGTACTAGTGTAGTTGTGTGTACTTCTTATGTACCTAATACATACACGTGGTCTTAAAAGTATCACTTAAATAGTTTTATTTAAGTTTTGATTTATTTCAATATATTATAGTTCCTAAAACAATTTAATTGTAAAAATATTATAATATTAAGCATTATTCATTAATAATAATGCATTTCATAAATCTTTGTGTAAGTAACGACGGTTAGGCGTAAAATTTAAGTATTTTTATTTTATCAACAATATGTATAAACAAACTTACAAATAAATTAACGCTCAATATTTAAAACAAATATTTTGATCTAATATATTAAAATGCACACAGGTTAGTAAAAAAATGTTTAATGTTCTATTTTCTATAACGCCATATAATGATTAATATACATATAACATAATTAATAACTTTAATAAACTTGGTTAAACTCTTATTATTATATTGTAAACTYGGTTTATTTTTTCGGTTYAATCATTATAAATTTCATTGGAGTGATAAAGTCATATTTTAAGTAAAAACAACATTTATGTTTTACTATCTCATTACAACGTGTATAATTGCGGTAGGTAATGCAAAAACATTTACATTTTTTAACAATGTACAATGTCCAATACCTATTTATTATAACTTTAGTCTGAAATAAGTTCAATACCTATACTTAAATACATATYACGTATCTAATAYGAACATTTTAATTTAAACCTCTTAAAGTTGTCACATAGAAAACAGTAGAAGTATCAAGTATTAGTAGGTATCTGGCTRTTCACAATGTTGCTTCAATGTGAAATAAAATAATTTTTTAATACATATATATTTATTAAAATATATTTTAATTTTTAGTAGGTACTAATGGTACTATTTGGTACTATATAAACAATACTTATAAATGTTATCAGTACTCTTTATGATGTAAAATGAGAGAGTATTGAACATTCTTCAATGATTTTGTTTTTGGAAATCGTCATTTATTTGGTACCTACCTACACTACACATGCCCGGCCATAGTTGTACATCATACTATATATTACTATATAATATTTTATATAATACAAAATAAAGTATGCTTCTTTTATTATTCGTTGCCATATATGAGTCAGTACATCTTCACTATTTTATAAAACAAATTGTGACCTCTGATTCGTCATTCATTTGTCCTTACTCGTTATAATACAATATTATAATTTTTCTATAATTCACATAGGTACCTACAGTAAAACAGTTAACACACAATAGGTACCCACACATGATTTCATTTTTACAATTCATTCTTTATAGGTACTTATTTAGTTTTTTTCCCAATATTTCATACTTCCTGAAGAAAATTGTAAATAAAACAAAAACGTCGTAAATTAAATAGGTTATCTTTGTTGATATAAAAAAATACACTCATAATTATAAATTGTTTTWACCTGGTATGATTATATTTTAGTATTGGAATAAAATGTATATAATTCACTCAATTTTTTTTTTGTCATTCAAAATGATTATTTACTTAATATTATTAAAGTTATTAACCTGATTAATTGGTCAATCTAAAAAAATGCGTTTGAAATATAAATAAATAATTACATGAAATATAATACGGTAATAATAGATTTGATTATCGTTGCTCATAAAATAAATTGTATAGCACGCGTATAATGCATTAATATCTACCTGCTTAATTGTTATTTTTTAAAAGTACAATTTTAATAAACTCATTTTGTACATTTCACAACACATCATTAAGACAGTAGGTAAGCTAGTAAGTCACRTGCATAAAAGTGTCGAGTGATAATGACACACATGTATTATGGAAAGGTTAGATTAAACATTTGTAATAATCACAAAAAATTTAGTGTTTTCATAACCATATTTCATACTTTTAGGCTATTGCCATTCTGTTATTGAATGTGTTTTTAACATCATTCGTCTGTGCCCAATATGGAAGCCCTGCTGGAAATGGCAACCCTGGATACGGTGGTACAGGTACCGGTGTACCATCAGGAGATTATGGACACAAAGAACAAAATCCCATCGGAGGAGCCGGTGGATCAGACGGAAATTCAGAAGTAAGTTCCATGTTTGTATTATGCATATTGTATTTTAGGTAATACAAATCATATATTCACAAAAGGCCATTACTATAGGCATAAGTGCATAACTAATCAATATTTGCATAATGCAAATAAATTTCATAACAAAATATTAATATGTACCCACGCCAATACTGTTATTATTATAATATGGTAGTAAACTGTAAACAATGGTGTCAGCTATCAGGTATGATGTTTTCTCAATCGAATTAATTACGCCAGCTTGGTAAAATTATATTGTTTTTAAATAGAATTTACTTAAAACTGTATAGATTACCATAAGTCATTGAACACGATACGTACCCCCATACTGATTTTGTTTTTCCCTTTCCTTTAAAAAACACAATTTATTGAAATTAGTGTCAAATGCCTCATTATAGAATAATAAACTGTACATTGTACAATAAGTATTTATTACAGGTCTATATAATAATTATTACTTAATTAAGTATTACATAAGTGTGTATTCCTGTTAGTTATAACGTATTTTAATGCTATAAAATGTGAACTAATATACGATTATAATGAAAATAATATTATTTTGTTAATCACAAAATATGTCATTATAAATTATGATATTAAAAATTATTATTACTGTACTTTAACAAAACAGCAAAGTATCAAAATTAATTAATTTAAACATAGGAAAATTAGTAATACCTAATAGAAATGGCTTTATAGTTATTAAAGATACTACCTATGTACAAATTATATATTTGTCTTAAAATGTAATGACTACAATAAAAGGGTGTGATAACCACTGCATACTGTAATATACTAATGTGTCACAACTTTTATATTACCAAATCACTTTATTTTTTAGTACTTGAAAATAATAGGAAACTTTAGGTATAATAAACTTTAAAAGTGTTTAAACCCATATTTTAAAATACACATTAACACATTAACCTATCGTGTTTTTTCAAGCAACTATATTGTAAAACTTGTGTAATTAACGTTACTGTAGTAGGAACCTGTAAAAGTAATCTCGGTACATGTTCACCTAAGCATATTTTTTATGAATTATTTTCGTGACTACCTATTTTAATAGTTACTTCTAATATTATTCTTTAAACAATTGTCTATAACTTGATAAATTACCCTATAAATTATTTATAGAAATTGGGCTAATGCATTATGTGAATTGTTAAAGATTTAAGTCGCATGCACTGCACCATATCTCCACTTCAAATTTATGGCCATGGTGCAGAACTAAATCCGGTCCCCGAAATTTTTCTAATATAAATTGAAATAATTATTTGCATGAACGCCGGGCTACAGTACCATGGGTCCTTCTGACACCTCCCCACATGTGGGGGCCTTGCACTACAGTTATCATTATTTTCTGGTGTTCCCAAGCAACTCTGAGTTATAATTCCGAAATACAGACATACAGTTTTAACTAACAACTAGTAACTATATATTATATAGCTTCACGGTATACCTATATTGACATTATAGTAGTATAGGTATACACTACATTATTTGATATTTATTAGTTTATATTATTAATAATATTAACTGAACAATGTTTTGTCTGCATTATTGTAGCCCGAACCATTCAACTTTGCTTACCAAGTGAAAGATGCACCCACCAATACAGACTTCAAGCACGAAGCCAACAGTGACGGCAAACGAGTGACTGGAGCGTACAGCGTACTTCTTCCAGACGGTCGTAACCAAGTAGTGACATACGTAGCTGACGAAAACGGTTACAACGCCAAGATCAACTATGAAGGAGAAGCAAAACCACAACCAGGTCAACCAGGCAGCCAAGGAGGTTATCCATCAGCATCTGGTTTCCCTTCTGCTGCTCCTAATTATCCTTCTGCTGCCCCTGGATATCCTTCTACTGCCTCTGGATATCCTTCTGCTGCCCCTGGATATCCTTCTGCTGCCCCTGGATATCCTTCTGCCGCACCTGGATATCCTTCTGCTGCTCCTGGATATCCTTCTGCTGCTCCTGGATATCCTTCTGCAGCTGCTCAAGGTTATCCTTCTTCAGCTCCAGGTGGTTACCCATCGTCAGCCTCGAGTTACCCTTCATCGGCATCGAGTTACCCATCGTCTGCCCCGAGTTACCAGTCCGGTGTTAAGGGATCTTACGCCGCACCTCAACCCAAAAACGGAGGATATTAATTAATACCTYTGTAACCTTTATTTAATTGATTACCTAATTTTTAATATTTTAAGCGATTTTTCGCCCTTGTACTTAATTATGTATTTAATTTTTTTTCAAAAACAGTCAAAATAAGTTATAAAGTGGTTTGTAACGAACAAATATTATGTWYAACAAAATATTGGTGAATGTATACCATATTTTGACTAAAAATAGTTATACTTAAATTAAATTATTTTTTTATTTTATAACTAATAAACATTTTGTTTTTTTTTTATAAAATGCGTGTTATACTGTTATCGTAATAATTATTAATAATAAATTTAAATTTATCAGATAATTTGTCGATAATATATTTCGCCATTCGTCAAGATCAAGGTCATAACACACTTTACAATTATTTCGGGTTCTCTAAAATGTAATATAGTTATACATTATAACATGTATCTTGTATCTCAATCAAAACAATAATGGCCTCCCTCAAAAAAAAAAAAATTAAAAAATTTTTAGTAATATATATGTAATATAATATATAGGAAATATTAATATGTTAAACTTTATTTTAATATGATTCAAATGTGAATAATTGTTTGTATGGCACTAACAATAGTAAATTTTACTATATAATGATATTCTCCCAAATCRTGTATTGTAATATTATTGTACTGGTATTAAGTAATTGGAATAATAGATATGACTATGATATTTAAAATACTTTCAAACYTTTCAAGTTCCTCACTTATAACACATAATCTGATAAACGATGTTTACATACAATAAATTGTTAAAAGCTCAACAGTTRCTTAACATATTATGTTATCATTATATAATTTAGCAATTGTATGTATATAAACAAAAATTTAAATAAAACGATTTTTTAATATCTATTACGCAAAATTATTTATTATATTATATATTTACTTATTAACCTAAATACCTTATATTATAATACATGATAATAACAATGTGTACGAATGTACGATATATACAATATAAAATTATCGGAATTAACTTACAAAAAAGTAGGAACCATTATGAGAATCACTCTTTCTGATTAATATTTTTACATAAACAATTTTATTGAATAAAATATGTTAATACAGGCTGCTCAACACGTGATGATTTTCAATGAGAAAATTGAGAAAAAATTGTTAGTGATAATTTCTGGACCTATTTAACCAATTTTAAAACTTTTCTTACCGTCAGAATGCTACACACTATTCGAAAGATCTATAGTCTATAATTTATCACGATAAGTGGCCCTTAATTTTTTTCAATCACAATTTAAGAATTTTATATAGAAATAACAATAATAATATATAAATATATTTTTGTTTATTGGTTACCAAAAATAAAATAGTAATTATAATTGAATATAAATTTTGAGTTTAAGACCTGTCATATATTATATTTGGTCAAAACTATTAAAACATTTGAGACYATTATCCATTAACAATTACGTAGGTGGTTTCAGTGATTGCCTCGAATAAACACAAAAACAAACAATATTTCTTCTATATAATATAATATTAATTAATATGGATAACTCAATAAAAATGTGGTATTCCTAGCGCCCTGGAGCCTTTTCATATATATCAAAAACACCGTCATAATGTACCGATTGTAAAATTTGTTGCAAAAAAATGCAAAAAGGCGAAAAATAAGAGAAAAAATAGCTATAATTTGATAACATTTTAGACCTGCCTCGTGCGTATTTTGCATGACTGTCTTAAAAATCTTACATGTAGATTAAGATGGCGCATATTTACGRGAGTTTGTCACGGAAAGTTTTGAACATCACAAAGYCACGTATTAAAATATGAAGAATTGAACACAAATAATTTTGAATCATACAAAGTTAGTATTTTTAATGTACATCGAAGTGCTTTAAACAACTTCAATTCAAATTGAAATAACTTTAAAACAAAGAGATCATTCGGTATAAACACGGGTATAAATGGTATAATGTTATAATCTTGAAGTATAATAGGTAAATCGCTCTAATAATAAAACAACGAAAAAAGTTATATAAATATTAATAACTAAAAATTATATGGAAAAGAAAAACGATTCTGAGTGGAGACTGTCTACCAGATTGTCATATTATTAATAAATTGATATTAATTAAAATAGTTGTCATCTGACCCTGTCTATTTCGTTGCCCATCAAAACTTTAACTTTTATAGCTATATAATTCWAACTTTTTCCAATTCGTTATAAAATATTCAGTGAAATGGAGAGTAAAGAAAAATAATTACTTTTGAATCGGTTTTTGCTTACGGGGAACCAATTGTTAGCAAAAATAAACAAGTATAATTATTATGCGGTTATTATGATTTAAATCCGCAAAAATATTGAGAACAATAAATTAGTAACAAATATAGGTTAAAATTATTACCACTCATAATCATAAAAACAWTTCGATTTTAGCAAACCAGTAGCAACCATTTATATAACAAAACACTATTTTATACTAATTTATACAGTTAGGTACTGTTTTAATCTGTAGCCAATGACAACTACTTATATAAACAATACAAAAAATGTCAATTTCAATCGCAAATCTCATAATCCTCACGTCAGTAACTGTTAAATTTATTTCAAATTTTMAAATTGTCTGACTTAGCAAACATTTTTTTTATCGATATTTTAATATTTATAGAAAAAAAAAATCAAAAATGTTTCATGTCTATAATAACAGCTCAAAAATAATGTCAAATATTTTTTGAACAACAGAGCATTTATACACTTATTTCCCGCGTTTTATCCTTGAACGATAAGAGTAGCACAATACTTTTAGGAATTTAATTTATTTTAATAATGATAATTGTTGATTAATTTGTTATAATATGACGCATGGATAGCATCCCAAACAAAAGTTTAAATTCCACCGACTGAGTAATAGTTGCTAATAGGTATTAATTTAAAAATCCTCTTCAAAATTTACTTACATAATATTAAATGTTACTATTATAGTATATACCTATTAAACTTACCTTGAAAACATAATATTTCAATTCAAGAATCAAACAAATGTGCACCGCCTTCTCAAAGTTATGGTCATGAGTTTCTGTACCAACTATGAACTATAGGTAATAATTATTATTCGAGATATCTTTCATTCATAATTACACTTAAATCTCTTAATATTATACAAAATACAAATAATAAATAAAAAATATTTAATTAAAATGTTGGGCTCATACTGATTATTTAGCGTTTCCAATCAAAGCAACACATAGTTGTTGTGGCAGTGTGCCTAATAATAAGTTAATTACGAATAAATAATATAGTTTTTTAATAATAAACATTTCAGGTCGTCCAATGTCAGTTATAAACGGTCACGAATCTCATGAAAAACTATTACTTTTTAATACCAAACGAACATCCGTGTTATTTCGGTGAGATTCAGTTGGACAAGGTTTTATCGCGCTTTATTTGAATAATGATAATGTTATCATATTCAGCTTGCTTTGTCTGTGCATCGAGTCAAAATTCGAAATCATAATTATATTATATTATTATCGATGTTCACATTGAGAGCCTATAACAATGAGATAACGATAGACCGACGTGTAGGTACTATTCGATCGCAGGATCGGTTGGAGGTATTTCTGTTCGCCCTTGGAAACGATACATCAAAATAATGCCATTAATACCCATGGTCTCTGTAGATCTTCTAAGACGACCATGGCAATACCTATTGGCTATTACCTTAGATATATCTCCTATCTAATCAGCTCTACTGTATGGATGGAACGCATATGATGATAATAATTAATAATTATAATAAGGACCGAGGTTGCTGCCTAAATACATAACACTTGTCCACGCGATAATCTCAATTATAATATTTTGTGACTATGACATTGTATAATATGGGTATTATATATTATTTTATTTTCTTTATCCTTGCAACACGGTATACTAGTTACTACTACCATAGGTACCTACTATATACTTCCATATACAGTGACATGTTGAACTCATTTTTGGTGGGTAGCAAAAACGTACACAAGGTACTCATCACACCCACCCACCCACCACATTTGTCCATCATACCAAACAATAAAGAATTTACAGAATTAACCAACCAGCTTATTGCTTATCCGTGTTTCCCTAATAATACATATACATATACCTACTGCAAGACCACGATTACGTGCCTATAATTGTGATTCAATATTACATCATTAGAATCAGACGATGGATTGGGAAACACTCACTGATTATACAATGGGAAGTAATCAATTGACATAATATGATAGTATACCTCAAGTTCTGAATAGGACCCTTTTTAAGGGGAAGGGATCAAATTTTATTATTCTTTAGTTATGAGTTAGTTTTTTTAGTCATTTTATTTAAACCGCGCATTGGCTGATGTATTTTAAAAACTTTCTACTTTTCGTAATTATTTTTTAAATTTTAAAGCTGATTTATTGTGCTATCAGCTAATATACACAATTATCAGATAAAAGATAAAACTAAAATGTAGGTACAAAATACAGATCGTTTTTATTAGAAGTAAAAAAGTTATTGAAAATAGCATTTATTTTATAAAAGGAAATCGCGTGTAACTCCAAATAACACCTTTTTAGTACAATTTTTATTTTTATTTGAWTGTTGTATAAAAAGATATGTATAACTACATAGCTTAAAAAWGTTTTAGTGCATTGACAACAATAACTACAGTCAGAAAAGTCTTGTCATGTTTAGAAGCTTATTATTTGTAAATTATAGGAGATATAAAAAAAAAATTTAAGACATTCTTGATAGAGTATTTAGTGAAATAATAAAATTTAATAATAAAATAAAAACTGTATTTATTGCGGAGTTATTTGGAGTAATAAACTCCGATTACCTTTCAAAACAATAATTGTCGACAAATTTTTTCAAACTTTTATAAATTTAATAAAAACCATTTTTTCATTTCTTGTTTGACTGTGTATGTTAATAATTAGTTGATAGTTCAAGAAAAATTTTGGTATTTTTGTTTTATTTTATTTTATTTTATTTTTTCGATACGATTTAGTATTTACTGTTTGCGGAAATAACACTTTTATTATTGCATTATGTTAATGTTAATTTTATGTTTATGGGCAATGTTATTATTAAAATTAATGTGAAATGTGAGATATAGTTATCATTGACATCATACTATTAAAGTTAATAGTTTGCTAGCGTGAACAAACTCCATGTATAAATATAAGATATCCATATGTTAGGTTCTGAGAGAAATGATAAATTTATTGGTTTTAAAATGATGTATATGTTTTTATGTGAACGTTAGACACTTCAAGTTCAAAATATATCTTTGAAATTGGATATGTATACCTATTTAAATGAAAAATAACTATATTAATTATTTTATTGCAGTTAAAAAAATATATTCATCACTTGAAACTGGCTTTCGTTGATCTTTTTCATACTCAGTAGATGCGCCCAATATTTTCTGGTGGTAAATCATTTTTTGTTTTAGCTGTTTTTTTTTTTTTACAATTATATAAACCACAMAAATCGCTTAAACATTATCTACATTTTCTGTTTTAAGAAAAAAACGCTGAAAACTCACTTATTTAAAGACTTTAAGTACAAYTGGCACAGTAATATTACATTACAATTTATCAAAACCACGTTTTCTACAATATGACTAATGTTATAATACCTACGTGATAAGTTCGAACAACAATAAATACATTTCGAATATTCGGCGGATATTCGAAGGCGTTTTAATCGCCCGCGAACCTCCTAGTGTGAATGTACACATATCAACCGCAACGATGTATGGTATATTAAATAGCTTTATGTTAATTTCAGTTGCACTTCGTCGATGACTATATAAGACGTCCTGCCGCAATCGATGTAAATCATTAGTAATAGTTTCGTCGAACGTGAAAAATACCAATAGTGTCTACCCCGTGTAAACTGTAATTCAGGTTTTAAATTTTTTAATATTACCCTCCGCGTTACCATGAACCAAAAAAAGGTAAGCGAAAAATATTATAGTATTATTATAATTGCCTATATAATATAGGTAGTAATACTACACATAATATATCTACTGCTAAAAGCCAATGTTAATGTTTTACCTATAGGTACTAGTTATTAATATTATTTCTATACACATTTTATGCTATCATAACTAAATATAACATAATATAGTTACCTACTTAGTGCGAAATTTTATAAATTAATCATTGAAATATTTTACATATTAGATAAAATTATATTAAATGTGTCGTTTTACTTGTTAGCGTACCTAATCGTTAATCATATTTTATTTTCGGGATTTCATGTTAAATACTTAAATATTCAAAATAATATAGTTACGATTGTTGCAATTACAAAACGTGTACCTATGCAATTAAATTTAATCACAAAATTCATTCGTTGTTATGTTATTTTATTTTTCGCATTAACAGCATAAAATAACTGAAAACAAAACAAAATAATGTATTATATATATTATACAATTATAGTAGGTAGGTACCTTGAGTTACTAGATTTAAAACGTCCCAAAGTTATTAATTTACTGAATGACCATTTTAATTTTTATTTAAAAATAAATATTATTTTTATTTTGAAATGCTATTTTTAAAATCATTACCAATCCAAATAATCTTAGAGTACCTGTAAACTTTAATTATTAAGATATTTACGAACAAATATTCAAGTTTAAAGCTGTTTGGTAAATATTCAACCATAATAATAAATAATACTAAAGAATGATACGTAATAAATATTGTGTATACTGTTTGATTACAAACTATTTATTTATTGAATCCAAAAATAATTAATACTATATAATATAATAAATATAATATATTTTCCACAGATGGCATACATTATCTACTAAATTAATTGGATAAAACMAATTATACGATTAAATTTGTCTATAATAGTRACGTATAATAATTTTTATAATAATAAATTATTACACACTACCTATGAACATTTTTAAATTGAAATTAGTAAAAAAAATAAGCATCTATACTATAGACGCTTTTTAATACGTGTAGGTACGTAGTATCTAATACGATAATGTTAATTTAAATATTTTTAAATTATAACTTATCACATACAATATAGCAATACGATCACCAACGCAATATTGTTTTAAAGTGAAACAAAATAACTTCTTAGATTATATATTTATTCACTATTTATTAAAATATATTGTAATTTGTGAGTATTAATAGAACCATTTGGAACAATATAAACAATATTTTTAAATTTAATTGGTACTTTTTATGATGTATGTGACGGAGTCACAATTTTTTTGAAATTATTATTTACTGTGAACCTAATTGTCATTATTACTATAAAAATCAACTTTGAATTGAACATTTAAACAAGACATCAATAACACTGCAGTAGGTATACTATATTCAGTTTTGTAAAAAATACTTTTGAAATTGTATTTAAATACAGATAAAAATACATCAATTCAAAAAATATTTAAAATAATTTAAAATACTTTTATGAAAAAGTATTTAAGATACAAATACGAATACTTGGAATGTATTTAAATACTTTTTTATTTTACTTTTCTACTAGTCAGTTCGTTCGCCAAATTAATATTGTTTATAATATTTATTATTTATTTAATTAATATATATTTAAATTTTGTAATTACTAATTTAAAAGTGGCATGTTATATTCAATTAGGTTTCTTTAGAAATATTTGTACAATTTTCTTATTAAATGTACACTAAAAATTAAAATTAATAAAATCTGTTATATTATAGCGATTGTGTAATATTAGGTTGTCAGGTAAGTACCTAGTTAAACAGCAAACACGTTTTATCAATGAAATATTAAAATCATACAGAACATAAAAAAAAAATCATTTCAGCAACATTGTTTTTTCAAAGTGTTCATAACGCTCAATTTTCCTCTTTTTATTTTGTTGATAAAATACGTAGCTTTTCCAGCAGTCAATACTAACTCAAAATTATTTGTCTAAAAGTATTTGATTTCAAATACAAAATACGTCCAAGACAGTATTTAAAATACTTTCCTAATACTTAATCCAAAGAGTATTTAAATACATTTACTCAAATCTACTGACTATTATATTATAGTCAATATGACTCATATTAGTGTTGAATGATATGACTTGAGCGAATGTACAATTTCCATCGGAGGCAGAGAGTTTAATAAACATATAAATATTAGTAAAAGATGTTAATTATACACATCTTTTACCAAAGCTTTTATCAAAGCAAAATTAAATTTAGCGCTTTTATAATAACGATATTTGGTAATATTTTTAGCCCGTTGTCATTCTATTATTGAATATATTTTTAATATCATTCGTCTGTGCTCAATATGGCAGTCCTACCGACAATAGCGATACCGGATACGGACGATACGGTGGTACATATACTAGTGTACCATCAGGAGATTATGGACACATAAGCCAAAATTCCGTCGAAGGAGCTGTTGGATCAGATGGAAATTCAGAAGTAAGTTCTATATTTATATGAAAATTGTATTTTAATATTTRAAAAAATGTATTGTTACAAAGTTAYAATATTGGCATAACTAATCGCCATTTTACATTATGCATATACATATATTTCTTAACAAAATATTAGCTATGTGCCTACGGCGATATTATTATATTTTTATATGGTAGTCAACTATAAACAACGGTGTAATAATTATAATCATCAGGTTAGGTACCTATCCATATATATAAAGGAATATTCTCAATCGAAATAATTACACATCGGTATAATTATATAGCTTTTTATTAGAATTTACTTACAATAGTTGATTAGGTACAATAGGTACCATAAGTGTTGTACCATTGGACATGGTAAGTACCCTCATAAGAATTCTATTACAATAAATTCCACTATAAGGATTTTGTTGTCCCCCTTTCTTTAAAAGGCATAATTTTTATCGAAATTAGTTTCAAATGCAACAGTAAAATGTATACCAATCGTACATTATATATTTATTACAAGCCCATTACTATTACTTATCAATTATTGCAGAAATATACATTTTTATTCCTGTTAGGTAAACATCTTGTAATGCTGTACAATATAGACATAGACTAGTGCACGACTATAAAGATGATATTTTGTTAATCTCAAAATATGACGCAATAAATAATAATTATATTTAAAATTACTATTAATATACTTTAAAAAAAAACTGTACAAAATTAATGTATTTCACAATAGGAAAATTAGTATTAATTGAAAAAGCTTTATAATTATTAAAGATACTCTGTCCAAATTTTAATAKACTTAAAATGAAATGAATACTAACTACAATAAAGGGTATGATTATTGATTAATAATTTTATTTTTCACTAACCTACCTATGGGCTATGGACTGTGAATATAAAATATAATAGAAAACTATATGTATAATAAACTTTACTAGTGTTAACCCATATTTTAAAATACCTATTATAGATTAACCTATTGTATCTAATGTGTATTATTTTAGCAACTATCTATATTGTAAAAATTGTATAGTTAACGTCACTTGGTGTACTCATAGTTGAGGGAGGTAGAAAGTTCAACCCCTACTCTCCCCTCTGGTCACTTAATAAATATGAATTTGCTTATAGGTATATAATTAAAATTATTGTATTTCTCAATTTTAAATCAGGAAATTCGCTTTTTTTAACCAACTTCTCCCCCTATTCAAAAATTCCAAAGCACACTTATATGATTAACCTTACTGTAGGTAGAAACCTGTAAAAGTAATACCCATCATTATATGAACTAAACATTTTAATTACTAATTTTCATAGTAATTCTTTCTTCTAATATTATATTAATATTTACTTCATAAATTAATTACCCTGTTATAATTTGTAAATACCTATTGTAAAATGAAAAAATTTTAATTATATAAGATTTTATTTCAATACACATTTATTATACTATTATTATGTTAACCAAATAATAGTCTCAATAGTGACAAAAGATTCGATTTAAAGTTAAAATCCCAAATTTAGATACATCCATACTTTTTTTAGCTATAACTTATATCCAGTATTTATCTATATGACTATGTGGTATAATAGGTATAGGCTACACATATTGATATATTGTTGTATGAAATATATAACATTTATAGACTAGAGACTAGACACAAGAGTGATAGTAAGTATTTAAAAGTATAGTAGTTAGTTAAAACTTATACTTTGTTTTATTAATTAAATTAACTGAACAATGTTTTTGCCTATCTGATGAATTAGCCAGAGCCGTTCAACTTTGCTTATCAAGTGAAAGATGAACCTACTAATACAGACTTCAAGCACGAAGCAAACAGTGACGGCAAACGAGTGACCGGATCGTACACCATACTTTTACCGGACGGTCGTAATCAAATAGTGACATACGTAGCTGACGAAAACGGTTACAACGCCAATGTCCGCTATGAAGGAGAATTAAAACCACAACCAGATCAACCAGGTAGCCAAGGAGGTTATCCATCAGCACCTGGTTTTCCTTCTGCTGCACCTGGATATCCTTCTGCTGCACCTAAATATCCTTCTGCTGCACCTGGATATCCTTCTGCTGCTCCTGGATATTCATCTGCTGCCTCAGAATATCATTCTGCTGCCTCAGGATATCCTTCTGCTGCCTCAGGATATCCTTCTGCTGCACCTGGATATCGTTCTGCAGCTGCCCCAGGTTATCCTTCATCGTCATCGGATTCACTTTCGTCTGCCCCGAGTTACCCGACGGGTGTTAAGGGATCCTACGCCGCACCTCAACCCAAAAACGGAGGATATTAAATAATACTTCTGTAACGTTTGTTTAATTGATTAATTTTTAATATTTTAAGCGATTTTTTAGCCATTGTACTTGGTTATGTATGTAATTTTTTTTCTTTACAAACAGTCAAAATAAGTTATAAATTTGTTTGTAACAAACAAATATTACGTACAACAAAATATTTATTACTGTATACCGTATTTTGGCTAAAAATAGTTACTTAAATTGAATTATTTTATTATTTTATAACTAATAAACATTTTTTTTTTTTTTTATAAAATGCGTGTTATACTGTAATAACTCAAAAAATAGAAAAATAATAAAATAAAATTTAATTATAATTATTTAATAAATATAAGAACAATTTAATATGATTATAAATATAAATTAATACAACTAAAGCTCCTGCCAATAGTTATATTCAAATTAATTTATAATTAGGGTAAGTTGAAGTTAATGGATTGATATCGTTCTCTATTACTATTATAAGAGCTGGTGAATATGATATCAGATATAGATATTACAATATCTAAGTGATCTTATAATTACAATACTATTATAGACATAACAATTATTAATAAATTAAAATGTCTCAGATAAATTGTCAATAATTCTCTTGCCATTCGTTAAGCTCAAAATCATTGCACAGTTGCATATAGCTATTTCGGGTTCTCTAACTATATTATATAGTTATAGAATATGACATGTATCTTGTACCTCAATGAAAATTATGATGGTCNTAATATTTGTTGAGTTACAGCCTCGTATGCCATATATGTTACCAATAATAATGCGCTTCCTAGATCATCATTATCTTTAGATACAACGGTCGTTAATAATGGTACTGATATTGTTATAATATATTATTATATTCTAATGTACAACGGCCACTTAATTCTTCTATTCTAAATATTAATAAAATTAATTTAAATTCCGATATAAATCTGAATTCTATCTCCTTCACTGAATTAGATGTCCTTAATTTAATCTCTAATATCAAACTTAACTCTAATGTAGGCCCGGACGGTATACCTTCTTTATTCCTATATAACTGTAGATTTATCTTAACTCCAGTATTAACAAATATCTTTAAGTTATCTCTCAAAAAAGTTTTATTCCCATCAATTTGGAAAACTTCTTTTATTTCTCCAATTTTAAAAAAAGGTGACCCTTCATTAATTTCGAATTATCGCCCTATCTCTAAGTTATCTATTATCCCTAAATTATTTTCACACTTGATCTCCTCAAAATTATCAAGATACTGTTCTTCCTTACTATCAAATCATCAATATGGATTTACTCCCAAACAATCTTCCTGTAATAATTTAGCTGTGGTAAAAACATAATCCTTAATTCTTTTGAATTAAATGCGCAAACTGATATTATTTATACTGATTTTTCTAAGGCATTTGACCAGGTCAATCATGCAATTCTTATTAGAAAATTACAAATATTTGGTTTTTCAGGTTCTCTACTAAATTGGTTTCAATCATTCCTATCCGGACGCCACCAAATCGTTAAATATCTAAATTTTACCTCTACACAGTTTAATATAGGTACCTTCTGGTGTTCCTCAAGGTGACCACTTGTCAACTCTTCTTTTTAATATATTTATAAATGATCTACCTAATGTCATCACTAATTCTAATATCCTTCTATTTGCTGATGATGCAAAAATAGTAAAAATTATTAAATCAGAACAAAACGCTTTTAATTTGCAATTAGACATTAATAACCTTATTTTGTGGTGTAATGAGAATAATCTATTTTTAAATATACAAAAATGTAAATTTATGAAATTTTACCTAATTAAAAATCCCGTTAACTCTCAATACTCAAATTCTAGCACAAATATCGAGCTTGTTAATCAATTTAAAGATTTGGGTATAATTTTTGATCGTAAATTAAATTTTTCTCTACATACCTACTGAAATGATAAAAAATAAAGCTTTTCGTAACTTGGGGTTTATTAAACGTTCTTGTGCTGCATTTTCAGATCCTATTCCCTTAAAAATCCTCTGCATCTCTCTTGTCCGTTCTAATCTAGAGTACTGCCCCCTCATCTGGATAAATAATACGTCGAAACAAGCTCTTACGCTGGAATCTGTCCAAAAAATTTTTTTACGTTTTATCTCATTTAAATTTAACATAAACAGACCTACCTACGGCACATGTAATAATTAATGTTTTAAATTTTCTTAATATTTCCCTACTCTCTGACCGTCGTACACTTTTACCCTCAAAATTTTTACAACAATTAATATTAGGTTCAATAGATTGTCCTGAAATTCTCTCTTTAATACGTTTTAAAATTAATTACCTTAATACTAGAGATCCAAAACCCTTTTATCTACTTCTTTCAACAAAAAATTATATCTTGAACTCTCCTGCTAACCTTCTTATGACTGCTGGTAATACTTTTGTCTTTGACTATATTTTAATATTAATTTGTATATTTGATTTGTATTCTATATCTACTTTAGCATTATTATTTTACTAATTCTCTAATTTTAAGTATATATTTAACTATAAATTATGTTTTACGTATAAATACGTTTTTCACACACAATGTAATATTATTATGTTTTA